ACATTGCTTTATATATATATATATATATATATATTCATGACTACATGCTAAATGAATTTTTGTACTAAACATGATTAGTATTTGGTAAAATTAGCTTATAAAATGACTAGAGGCTTATAAGCTACTTGAAAAACTTATACATTATAAGTTAGGAGTTGAAAATTTTGAAGCCAATAAACTAACTAATTGAATTGAAAGTATTTAATAAGATTAGATGATAAATTAACTAATTAATATAAAATAATATTTTTATTTATTTAACAATGGGAGGAGAAAATAATACGTAGGCAAAATTGTTTTTAACTTAAAAAAGAAAAAATTTAAGTAAATTAATGATGATAAAAAAGGAAAAAAAAAAGTTAGAAATCGAGTTTATAAATTATAAATCACTTCAATTAACTTATGGAAAAAGTTCTTATAATAAACTTTGGTCCCAAATAAATTTATTTTGATCGAATCAACTTATAAACCGATTAAAATAATTTACAAGTTCTTTAAATATCTTGTATGACTTGCTTGGAATATAAAGTTGATACTTACTTATTTCCTTATTAAATTTTACAATTTTGGGTAATGTGACTGTTCATGTATAATTGTGTTTATTTTTGGTTGATCTGTAAAATTGACAATTAAAAATTAATTTATATTTATAATATTTACTAATCAAATATTATTTTAATACATATAAGAATCAAATCCAAAACCACTCATCGACCCTCGAATTGTGTTTATCAATTTGCTCCTTGAGAGAGTAATTGAAACCAAATGAACAAAGTGAAATCATAATAGTCACGAAAATAGCTAAAAGCCTAGACCATAATTTGGCTACTTTAGGGAGGCAAGGAATCAATTATAATCCATAGTAGGAACACCAAATTTGAATCGAATTGTCTTTTCTTTATGAGGGAAGAAATTTGACATCAAGATTTATCACTGCCATAATGGAATCTAGCACCCTTATGTTAGAGTCTTTATTCGTGGAAACAGTGGTAATTTTCCATGTGTAGCAAAACAATCATGATTGCTGGTCCATATCATATTAACGGAAATATTGTGAACATGCATTATCAGAAATTAGTGATTTAAAATGTGTCTGATTTTCTCTAACTATGATTTCAGATGTCACAGTTTTAGGTATGAAAGGAGGGCCCACAATCACAGATTGGTGACCATTCTTTCTAACTTAGCTTACTAACATTAGGAAAACCAAATGTCACCAATTCCTACCAAACTATTATGTCTTTATTCCTTTTACTATTCTCAATTAATGAATTTATTTAATTTGCACCACAAAGCAGGTAGCAGAGAATGAAACAAAAAGTGAAAATGGATCTGTGTTAAACATAAAAACTCTATCAGCAAATAATGAATAAATAAAAAACACTACATTAATTAACCAATAATAAGTAAATCACCCGGATCAACTTATATCATATTTTAACCCAAAATTTTATAACGTGTTATGAATTTTCTCATATATATATATATATATAATATATATATTTACTTTGTTCAATAATTTATATTTTAATCAAATATCAACGATCTAATTGTTGAATTTAAAATTTTTAATACATATATCAAATTTGTAAATTTTAAAATTCATTTAATACTTCGTTTCATTAATTCAAATTGATAGATAATCATAAAAAATATTTTATACGTTGATTTGAATTAATAAAAAGAACTATTAAATAATTTTTAATTTTTTTTAAATTTGCAGATTTGATCTATACATTAAAAACTTTAAATTCAAAAGTTAAATTATAGAGATTTGATGTAGAGCATGAGTTATTAAACAGAATAAGTATACTTAAACTTACTCTTGAAATAAACGGATCCCTTATCGTATATATATATATATATATATTATTCATTTTTATCTAAATTAGAACTCACATTTAGCATGATGCAAGTTAAAGCATGGAAGATGAAATACAAAACGAGGATTGAAACTAATTATGCCTGTCATTAAAACACTACAAAAATAAGACATTACACAAAACACATTATATATGAGAACATTACCTGCTTGTTTTGGGAGAGCACGCCAATTTTCATGGCCATATTTTTGGATGAAAGCAATGAGCTTAAGATCTTCTGAAGGGCTCCATGGACCTCTCTTAACTTGAGTCTTATCACAACATGGTGCTCTTCCTTTCCCCATCTTATCACAAACCCTTAATTAGTTTATTCTATTTATATATTATATATATGCACTCTTCCACTCTCAATGGCCTATGCCATTTATATACCATCCCTTCAATTAGTCCCTCTGCCTATATATACTAGCTCGTGCATAAAGAGAATGCTCCCAATGAAATGAACCCACAAGAGTCATGCCACAAGTTAGAATATGCTATGCAATAAATACAACGAAAATCTTGGAGTATTTTCATTATAATATCCGTTCCCTATTTAAAATGAAATCTCCATAACTCGGTAATTTTTTGTAAGTTTTTTGTATCTATATAAATGATTAAGGATTCCAGTTAATACGTGTCAAAACTACATTTGGATTTGATATAACAGCCACCAACTTTCTGAAATTTGATATCACTTGCCTTCTTTATGATGTCAACATTCTCCAAGGTAACACATTTAATAATGACTGTGTTTGGGAAGTTAAACTCAATTAGAATTATATATATATAAAAACAAAATTATACTCAAAAATTTTTATTATTATTTTTTATCAGTACAGATTTTTTTTTTTTTTTTTTCTGTTAAACGTGATTTTAAACCAGTTCTTAAATATATAAAATATGATTGACCTTTAAAAAAGTTTTGTAAAATTTAATTTTAATTAATTAATTTTTTCTCGATGAATATTTCTATATATAAAGTTAAAGGTAGTAACTAGTCTTATATTTGCTTATACGAAATTCTATTGTGATCTTATGTTATTTTGTGTTCTCACCTTAGTTGTGACCTCGTAAATATTTTTAATAGCTTGAATATATGTAAAAATAAACTTTTTTTCTTATATCACTTGGTGACATTTTTTTCAAGTCAATAAAATATCTTATATAATATTTTAATTCCTTCAATATGCAAAAGGGTGTCGATAATACTAGAGGGGCGAGGGGTTGATTCAGAAAACGTATTTAATTGTTTCATATTATATATTTGTTGAATTGTTCCATAAATAATAAACTATAGTCTCTTGCAGGAATCTTTCAACGTTTGTTGTAATGGGTAAGTCAGCTAGGTTAGTCAAGTGTTGACTTTAAGCACAAGATTGACTTATTTTAACAAATGAAATCATCAAGCACTAATCCATGGGTTTACCTATTTGACAAGTAATTTTTCTTCTTCTAAATATTAAAGAAGACAATAATAATAGAATATCTTGTTTTTGTTCCTTCTTTCTCACCTAGCTTAAATATGTATGCTAATTTGAGGTTAACTCATATACGGATAATATAAAATATTTTATATACATCGTCAACTAATAAAAAATTATTGTAGATATGACTTAAAAAATTTATTATACTTGATAATTTGTGATATTTCTTCTAAACACACATACACATACATAAAAAATGCCAAATTTTTTTATTAAAATCTAAACAAATTTTATTAAAGTCAACTTTATTTAATATTCTCAATTTAAAAATATCGCTATGATTAAATTAGAATACTATTTATTTATCATGAATGTGGTTAAAAATATTTTATGAAATGTGATTTATATTTTTAAATGTATTTAATGAATTTTCTTAATATGTGTGAAATTGATTTTATTTGTTTAATTCTTTAATAATGATATTTATAAACATCTTTGTGGCTAAGTGACGTTAATATATGAAATTTATAACCAATATTATTTTACATTATCAATGCTAATTATCTTGTTTGTAATAATTAGAAGGAAGTAAATGAAGAAGAGAGAATGTGTGCATGTTCATGCACAGTGCTTGGAATTGCCTTACTCTTGCCATGTTCTGGCGCAATTAAGTTAGGTGTTGCATGCAACACGCTTATTACAGTAATTGAAGCAACTTGCATGTTCCAATTTTCATACACTTAATTTGTGGGTAACGTAAACCATACCTCACACTCACACTCACAGTGCATGGCTTTAATTTTGATAATACCTCGAACTCATTTTGGTACTCAATTATTGTCAGTTATGTCATCCTTCAGAATATTGATTTGTCTATTCACCTAAAGTTGAATATTTATAAATATGTGCATACATCTTTTGTAACATAATTCTCCTAAGTAAGAAGTCGTTGAAAAAAAAAAAAGATTGTGTGTAAGTAATGGATATGTGAAAGGATATCCTGTGCATATATTTTATTCAGTCTAGACGAATAGGAGTTTACAAAAACATATAATTTGACATGCTAATGAAAATTTTCATTATAGTGTCAAATTAGTGTTTATTGAATCCCAAGTGTGTTCAGCGCGGTAAGTGTTAATCCACGCTTAAGTAAGATTAGGGGTTCGAATCTTACCTTGTGTATGCAGTCACGTTAAATCTTGGGACCAACTATCGGCGGTGACCCTCGATACTCCAAGGATGAAAAAAACATTAATTAATTATAAATATTAATTAAAAATAATCATCATGATTACCCTTACGCATGTAAATTAAGTGACATAAAATTGTTTTAACTTATATAATTAATGGTCTCAAATTTGATGTTTGTTTTTATGTTTTTATTATAAAGAAGTATCTTTCCATTTAATACGGGGACTAATCTTTTACAAAAATTTAACAAATATCAAATAGGTGAATATTTCCAATTTTTAGCTTGAATATTTGTATTTACTATGGTTAAGAATGATTTTTGACCACTTAATTAAGCATGTGAGTTATTTCATTAAATATTTAAAAGAGTTATTTTAACTCAATTAAAATTATCCAATTTAATCAATGATTTGTATATAAAAAAATTATGACTAAATAAAATTCGATTATTTTATGACACGGTCTTATTAATTAATATTTAACAATGGAATGAATTCTTATTAAATGTTTGTGTAAAAAAGGCTTACATTAATAGTACATTAAATTAACATATTTTTAATTAATGTTATATTTTTTTTACTATATTTAGAAAATTATTATAGTGAAAAGTGAAATCTAATTAATTTTCCTTCCTCGTTTCCTTTTTTCATTTCTAAATTCAAACAGAAAAATTCAGTTCCTATACGACTTAAGAATCACTAGATCAGCTTAAGAATTGAATTGAAATGTGCATGATTTTAAGTTTCAACCTGATCTTAGTAATTACGATGGATTAAAATACTTAATTTCATTATCAATGAGAAAAGATGGTTTTGGTTTGCTCCATTAACATCTTGTCAAACCTAAACTCTTTTTCTCTTTTGGAAAATCCAAGCACTCGTGTAGGAAATAGACCTTTGGGGATTTGTGTTCACAGCTACCAAACTCACAACACATCAAACATGTTGAGTTCATCCACACATAGGCCATACGTCATTCATTTGCAAATTATTTTTATTCATTTTCTACATTATTTCATTTTCTTTCATCTACTTTTTCAATTTATTTATTTATTTTTTTATTTATTTTTTATTTTTCTCGTTTACTCCTTCGATTTGTTAAGTTCGGTAGCCATTCAAAGTCATTAATGGTAAGTAAAACCCTACTAACCCAAAGAGAAAATTTTCAAAATTAGGTACCCAATGGTTACAAAAGCCTTGTAATGTTAGTTTCCCCAACAGAGACTAAATGCTATTTATTATTTAATTTAATGTCACGTTTTTATTGTCATTTTCATGCAGGTAGACATATTGGACTGAAATATAAGATTGCATGGGGGATAGGTTTGGCATATGTATTACACTTTTCTTAAATACACGTCCATTGATTAATAATATATCTTTTTTATTCTTTCATTATTTAATTCCTAAATATAATTGAATACTCATTCTTTTTTCTTTTTCTTTTTAACACTCACCCCCTTTCACTGTGCACCCTCGTTTTCTTTCCTTGCCTCTATTTATTTTCTTTTTATTGCCAGAAGATTTTTTAGAAAATATTTTCTGAATGTTTGTTTTAAAACATATATATCTAAGGAAAATATATTTTTCAAAATAGTATATGTACGATTCTAGAAAATACTTCTTTACATTGTGTTTTAATTTAAACTATATTTTGAAAAACCATTCTCCAAAATAATATGTATATATATTATTTTAAAAAATACCTTTTAGAAGTATATTTTAATAAGAGAATACAATTATGCTTTGGAAAATAAATGAGCAATTTAAAGAATAATGAAGATAAAATGAAATGTTAGGTTTTAAGAATAATAAAGATGATGATGTACGTGTGTCTTGACTGTTAGATATAAAAAAACCAACAAAGAAAAAAAAATAATCAACAAAAAGTGGCTAACAAGAGATAAAATAATTTTTTAAAAAAATTTATTAAAAAAATGGGAGTAAATTAAAGGGTATATAAAATTTTTTTGAAAAAATTAAGAAAGAAAGAAAGAAGGGTGACGTACTTATTAAATTATAGAGGTGTATATATCATTAAGAAAACCCAAATCAATCAATACAAAAATGTCTAACCTCATCTTCAACTATCTCTCATGTACCTCAAATGACAAATACATGAAAAAAAAAATAAAAAAATAAATAAATATATATATATATAGCAAAAATCATGCATCATAACCTTTAGTAAAATAAAAAAAAAAACATGATAAAATTTAGGTAGAAAATAAATATCATGCATCTCCTAGGATAGTAAATTAGCATGCATGCATTAGAGACGGAAGGCACATATCATAGTATGCAAAGAATGTTCTCTAAACAAAAATCAATGGGAATGATATTCATTGAATTATATATATATATATATATATATATATATATATATATAACTCATTTTTCAATAAGTTGTAGCATAGTAGGTTTATTCTCAAAAATATTATTTTATACTACTTCTTTTATTATATCTAAAAAATAAATATCTAATTCATCAAAATCAACGAAATAAAGTAGTTAATTTTAATTAATAATATCATAATTTAAAATTTTATTTAAAAAATACTTAATAAATTAAATGGAGTAAGTAGTAGTTAAATTTAATAACACTATTCATGATTCAAGAAATAATGTTTTCAATCAAACTAATTATAATGTTAGTTGTCTAATAAATACATTTACTTTTATAAAAAATTTACTTTTATAAAAAATGAGTAGATGACTCATTAATAGACTTATCATAAATTAATGATATAAAAAATATCAATTAATACATTTAAAAGTAGATTTAATATTTTTTTTTAATAATTTGAACCAAAATAAATCTCTAATTTGTTTCTAGGAC